TAAGGCATCTATCCAGTTTCATTTTATGAGTACATTTATTTATATGTATTATATATAGTTTCAGAACCACAAATGGAATCACGTTGTGCATTCTGCCATAAATAATAATACTTAATATCTATGGAATATTTACTGTGTACCTGGAACTGTGGCGATTACTTTACATGTATTTTCTCATTTAATCCTCACAATCACCGTATATTGAATTGGAGTTACTGTCCCAATTTTACAGAGGCAAACTTAGGTTAAGTAGCTGCCCCAAAGTTACACAGCTACAAAGTGATAGAGCCAGGGCTTGAGCCCAAATCTGTTTGACAACAAAATCCATATTCTTAACTTTTTTCCATTGTTTTGAACCTGCTTTTTTTACTTAGCAATGTATCTTGGACATTTTCCTATGCAAATATATATACAGATATGTCTTGTCTTAATGGATAAAAACTGTTCTGTTGTATGGATGTCCCATAATTTATTAACGAATCTCCAGTTTATGGGTTTTTAGGTTGCTTCTAATCTATACCTCTCTTCTTGTGCTAGTATCACACTGTTCCAATTACTGTAGCAGCTTTATGATTTATTTAAATATATAGTAAAGCAAGCTACATATTTTTCTCTCTAAACATATTTAACTCTCAAGTAATTCATTCTTTTAGGATAATGATATATTTAATTTGTAATGTTTTCCAACAACCCTGTTATGATTTTAACTGTAATTGTGTTAGATAAACATTATAGTGGCTAGAATTTTTATCAGCACGGTTTTGATAAGAATAGATGAATTTTGAGTGCAGAGTCTGGCTGAAGCAGGTTTTAGGTCAGTGTTTCTGGACCTCAAGTATGGGAGTCCATGAACCTAGAACATATACTTAAATTGGCTGTCGTTGGAGCATTTGGGTATTGCCATGGAGTCACATAACCATGGTTCTCGGATTTTTGGATCGTGAATCCTTTTTAAAAGCATTTGGAAGATATGTGCCATTATCCCTCAAATGCACATAAACATAGAACTTTACATACAATTTCAGGGTATTAGGAAACTCCTGAAATCCATTTATGGATCATGGATTAATAATTTCTGCTGTGGGAACTAGAAAATACCAAAATAGAGAAGTCAAGTAGTCTTAGAAAGTCTATATGGGTTATATAACATAACGAGGTTATGTTAGTGTTTGCAAAGAAAATATTATTTTTGTGGTTCATGGATTGACAATCAGATATTTTACCCACATAGAAAGAATATAGAATTTTCCTATTGACCTTGGAATGAGAATGAGGACTTTGAATAACAGCCTTGGGAATGCCTAGGCTAAACAGGAGTAATTAGAAAGGCAGTAAGGAAGACAGGCCAGGGTGATTGGACAGAGCGTGAATTTCCAAGTCACTTAGACCTGAATTTGAATCTCAGCTCTGCCCCTTACTGGCAATAGGAATTTAGGCAAATCATACATCCTCTCTGAGTCTAAATACATTATAGCTGCTGTTAACAACAACAGTAATAAAATATATCAAGAACATAGAGCATTTCTAAAGGTTAAATGTGAGGCTATCATCAATAAGAGTCACGGCAGAAGAGCAAAGTATTCAAGGTGAGTTTGGATTAAGTTTTTTTGGAGTTTAAAGGTAGTTGTTCAGCAAAAGCTAGTCCTTATAGAATGTTAAGGCTAGAAGCCTGAATTGAGATTTCACTGAGAGCCAGTATTGTTGGTAACCGTCAGAAATTTGAAGAAAAGGACTAATAAACAATTATTCCAGTTGGAGAAGATGTGTGCTTTAAAGGAGTACTCAAGAGACTATATTGGCATTATTGTAGATCACTAGTATTTAATCTTTCAACAATCATAAAAACAATGACAAAACTCATATTTATCGAGAGCTTACTCTGTGCCAAGAACTATGCTAAACACCTTATATGCATTATCTCTTTTGATCTTTACAACAACCCGCAGGAGGTAGATAGCATCATTATCTGCATTTTATTAATGAACTAATAGGTCATAGACCTGGTAAGTGGTGGATCTAGGATTTATTCCCACATTTAAACATAAAGTGGTTACTTCAAGTTAGATACTCATGTTGTTGCAATATAACCAAAAAAGTTCAACTGACCAGGAATTTTTGCACAGTCTTCATCATGTACAGAATTTATTTTGGAAATGAGGAATTTGTTAAAGTTATCAGAACAGTCCTCCTCCTACATCTGTATTTCTATATAACGATGTTACTAAAGACACAAAATTCTAAAGTAACTTCTGATGCATCAAGCATTAGTGTTTCTATTTTATGCTTTTATTGTATTCTAATTCGTTAAAAGTAGGTTAAGTTACGTAATAGGTTGTTTTTTCAGTTAACCAAATTCAATTAAATGGAATATTGTTCTAACTATAATTATTAATATATATGTTTATATATACAAGCATAGGAAAAGTTCAGTCAATCCATTAAGTAGTTTATACAAATAAGTCCAAATGTTTTCTTTCATTTGATCAACAGTTTTTCAGGTAAGGAACGTAGCATCTTTAATTTTGCTAAAACTAAATATTTTTACTTTATGTAAGAAAGACAGCACTTTGCAGCTATACCATATAATGATCATTTACATAAGGTAATCTTATCTGAAAGCAATCTATTTTTGATTTGTCTTAAGTAAAACTGGCATCTTAATAATCTAAGGTGTCTTTTCTTGGCTTTTAAATCTTTTGTAGGGATAATTAAGAGAGTACTGAGTATAAAATAAAATATTTTAAGTTTTAAAATATTTTTACTTTAAACTGTTTAAAAACTTGGTTATCTTTAAATTTTTCTAAAAGGATTTGAATGTGGCTTTAGTGAATATACTTCTTTAGAACTTTAATTATGAATTAATTCTCTTTACCTAAAATTTGAGTGCTCCTAATTTGTAATATAATATGGTGGTGTGAAGGGGGAAAGAAACTAACGCCTAAAAGATTTTGTGATAGGATCTCTATTTCTGAAGTGGTGCTTTAGTGAATTTAAAATGAAACTGAAATACTGAAATTCCTTCACTAGCAATCAGCATTTATTGAGGCCCTTTGGTTTTGTGAAAATGTTTATAGTTAAAAGTATTTTATACTTTTTATATGATTAAGATTTAATTTCCTTCCTTATTTTTGGTTTGGCTTTCCTTTGTCTATTTTCTTTTCTTTTTTTAATTGAAAAAAACTAGTGGAACCAAATGTAAGATGGTACCACTGTTTTCTCCTTCTTTTGTATAATCTTGTTGCGTGTCTCCACATAAGCTGTTCTGGCCTCTCATCATAGTAACCAGCTGGGCCATTTCACCTGCTGGAGCCATTAAAGAGGACTCTCTCCCCCTAGATTAATCCCCTCCGACATTAGTTTTTTGCACTGACAACTGGAGCAGGCATTCAGAATTTGCAGGTGGCCAGTGTGACGCACATAATTGCCTACAATTTTAGGCAATGAATAAAAATGGTCTACATTACTTGTCAAAGGTTGTATATGCAGTGCCAAGTGAGATCTATGGGAAGCCTTTTAGGGTTTAAAGAACAGTTAATAGCAAGGCTGCACAGGGCTTTTTTAATCATAATGCATTTGTAATATAGCACTTTGATCTTCTCCTTGTAGGAAATGGTGTTACATTAGCCACTTTTAAACATTTATGAGTGAAATAGAAGAGTAAAAGTGATTATTCTTAAGCAGACCATGTTAGATTTCATTAAAAGTTTTCGGCTTGCCCCTTCCTTGTTGAAGTCTGTGGGAAGTCCTTTTCCTGGAGGGTTTCAAATCAGGATCTAAGGATATAGGGCTTTTTCCTTATTTTTCCTGTTGGTAACAGCAAGATTTGGAAGGAAGGTATACTAAATACTGAGGTAATTTAACAAGTGGATATTTATAGAAGACTAATGATTTATGATAAAGTAAAATACATCAATGAAAATCTAAGAAATCTGTTACTAATAATTGTGTATTACAATAAATTTTGAGAAATGCATATTTAAAACATACCCATAAGTTATCTTTAACAACAACAACAACAAAAAACAGATGACTCTCAAACGCACTTCTTCTGGAAGAGCTAAGTTTGACCTTTCAGACCCAAGAGCCTTTTATTAACACCTGCCTGTAAGGAGAACCTTGCCACACGCAGCTTTTAGATTCAGAACCACAAAACTGATGAGGAAAGGCTTGAAGGGTTCAGTTTGTGTCACTTGCTGTTTGCCGTTTCCATTTCACAGATGATTAATCTTTCTGTGAAGAAAGGCCAGAGAAACAAAGCACATTGGGCTCTTCCTGCAGTTACTCCTTCTGAATGCACACTAGCTTGCTAACTAAAAGGCCTTTAGATTTCCAGCAGAGAGAGATGTTCTGAAAGTGAATGCAGCTGGTTGGAGGTCACCAGTGCAGGGCTCTTGCCATTGTGTAATGGAGGCTTTGGCAGGTTGGGGGGGGTGGGTTGGAGCAGGGACAGGAGAAGTGGGCAGGGAGAAGGTGTCAGCAAAAAATTAATTCAAAATAAAAAGGGTTTTGGTCAGTTGATTTAATATTTTGGAGGGTAGATCATCAATAATAGGCTCAATTTCATCTATTTTGTTTTCCTTTTTAAGGAAAAAATTATAATTCAGTCTTTCTCCAGTGTTTCCCCCCCCCCCCCCCCCGTTTCCTAACAGCATGTTTATCTTGCAGTTTACATCACTAGATAATGTTGAGATATTATTAACTCTTGTAGTCTTTGGTATGTTTTAATGGTTTGAAATTTTTAAGATTGTTACTAATTTTGCTAGTATTCCACATTTCATATGGTAAAATTTTAATGCCACATTAATGTTTCATTTCGTATTTCATATTTTAATGAGATATTGAAAATAATTATCTGTGTAACTTAGTTCTTTCATAAAAAAGTTGCCTTTATTTTTATAGTCAACTTTTAATTGAGGGTTTGAAAACTTTTAATTTTAATATTTAGTATGTAAATGCTTAGTATTCATCTTGTATTTACTTTTTTTCTCAATTGTGTATAGGACATAATGTGCAAAGTCAAATCCTGGGTTATAGATCAAAAGAAACCTGTTCGCTTCTGTCATGATTGGAATGACAAAGAGGTAAATTATAAATATGATGCAATCTATTATTACCTTTGCTTCGATTTCTTAGAGAACAAAATTGTCATTATTTTACACTTATTATTATATCTAGTTAGACTTCATTTCTCTCAATGATTTCTTATTCCCAGGCTTGTTATTTTTTCTTTTCCCCTACTCCTGATATTTTGTGACAACTAATCTTTTAGAAACAAGAATTATAAAAATGGCTTCTTGTTTAAATAGTTTTCTTTCAAGTTCTTTAGTGACTTAATATTTACTCAACTTTTAAAAAGGACTCTTTTTCTATCTCCCACTTTAGATTGAAGTGTTGAATAAACACTTATTTCTGACTTCAAAACCAATGGTCTACTTGGTTAATCTTTCTGAAAAAGACTACATTAGAAAGAAAAACAAATGGTAAGTTTTTTTTCTCCCCAGATGTACCCCGACATATCATATCTGATCACACACAAACACACATACATATGTACTTACTGCTATGTTTGATTTAAAATTTTTCTCATTATTAAAAAGTTTAAAATGGATGAGAAAGCTTTGCCTAGTGTTAACATTCCGAGGTGAATCTTCTAATGATTTACACTGAGAGAACTTAAGAGGAAAATAAAAGGAATTACATTAGGCAATATTGAATTATACATATTTAATTATCAAATTTATTGAATAGACATTAATATTTCCTTTGCAAAATGAGAATAAATCTACTTACAGCAATAAAACTTTCTAAACTAGGAAATTCTAGCTTTGCTGATTTTATATGTGACTTTAAAATATCTACTTGGAATTGTAGCTGGGCATAAGTTTTAAAATCCAGATTGAATACTTAAAAAACATTTTTTTTTTTCCGGTACGCGGGCCTCTCACCGTCGCAGCCCCTCCCATTGCGGAGCACAGGCTCCGGATGCGCAGGCCCAGTGGCCATGGCCCACGGGCCCAGCCGCTCCGCGACATGTGGGATCCTCCCGGACCGGGGCACGAACCCATGTCCCCCGCACCGGCAGGCGGACTCCCAACCACTGCGCCACCAGGGCAGCCCTTAAAAAACACTTTTTTAATTTAAAAAAAAGGTATGGTGGAGGGAAAGACCAGGTATTTGTTTCAAAATACTTTAAAATACACAAAGGTAAAAACTATGCCTTCATGTATTGATTGTCATTTTTGACATGTAACCAAAATGTGCCAGGTTTCCTTTAATTCACTAGTAACTTCAAAAAATCATATGTTTATGTAACATAAGGGCATGTACACATTTGGCATGGTACTCACTGGACCCTCAGTATTTTATACTGTTAAGTCATACAAACAAACCAAAACTATCCAAAGTAAAATATCTGAATTCTCCTAAAATATATTTTCATTTGTTTTCCCCTGTACTTCATTAAGTACTTAGATGCACATGGTTTCAATTTTCCATTAAAAATTCTCATTTCCATATGATATCAAAGAGTAAGAAGCTTTAAACTGAAAAATAAACATTCATAGACTGGAAGCCAAAACAATAATTAATGTCAGATGGTTAACTCCAATAAATCATTAGAATAAATTCTGTGAAATTACTGCAACTAAAAATGCCCTGTTGATATTACTATAAGACATTTTGTGTTCCTGATAGGAAACTGAATTTGGCCTCTTAATTTGTAATGTTCTAGAAAGCATGAACCTAACATGAAAATTCAGTTCTGACTGGTCAGTGTCTTCTAGTAGATAATTAACTTTAAAATAAACAGTTCTGTCTTGTTTCTTATATAAAATTCTTATAAATTTTGTGATTGATATGTTAAAAATTGTTACCTTTGGGAAGGAATTTTAAATATATTATTTGACTTCAGTTAATAAATCTCATTGTAGTGTGAATGGTAAGGTTTCCCAGGGCTCCGTGAAACAATAACAGACATCAAAGTTTACATGAAAAGGGATGAGTCAGTTTCCTTGCCCAAAGGAGCTTCTCACACCTGTATTAGGATGATTACAGGTAGAACTCCCTGGCTCTAATTGTACAGTAAATACTATTTCCCAGACCCTAATGGTAGACAGACTGCTTGGGAGACGCCAGTCTGTGATTTAGCTGTCGCCAGACACCCCATGTTTTTTGTGAGACCAGTGGTGATGATGACATGGTTATAGCCAATTGAAAGTAAACTCTTGTCTAAATAGCACATTTTAATTTATAAAAATGTAGAGGTATGGATGATCCTATTTATAAAATCAAATTTTAGATTTTATGTATGACTGATGATCTGGTTTGGGGTAGTGTGTATGTTTGGTGGGGGTGGGGGGAGTCAGATCTTGTGGAAGTTAGTGTAATTGTAGCTGAAAGATCAAAGACTGGGTAACTGAGTGATGTTCCAGAAGAGAATTTACCACATAGCCATTTTCTGTACAGTTTCTGCCGCCTGCTGTTCCTATTTTCCCTCAAGCTAGCCATTGACTACCCCCTGTGCATCCCTGCTCGTAAAAAATGATTGAGGAAGTATTTGTCATGTATTTATGAGTGGGAAACATTGTGTGATAGGGAATGGCATCTACTGGAGCCAGAAAGATTGCCATTCTCCTTTCATTCAGCCACTCTGCTCCAGCTTTAAATCTGTTTATGCAACATAGCCTTTGTATTAAAGTGCAGAATAAATTTTTATTATGAAGGATATGAACACTAGGTTTTCATCACTTATAACATTGCAAGCAGATGTAAATAGTTAAAATATATTTTAATTACTAAATCCTTTAAATTTGTGTTAGCATCTTGTTTTTTGGTAATGTTTATATCTCAGCTCCATTTGCATAAGTTGCTCCTTTAGCAAAAGAAAAAGGTTTTGTTTTTTAAGGTTATTATGTAATGTTACTGTAGCAGATTAAGACTGATGCAGGAAGTAGTAATAAATATTTTCATGGGTCTTTTAGATCTAGAAAGCTATTTTAAATGGTCAGGAAAGAGGAGGAGGAGTTTGTGATTCTGGCCACAAGAGGAAGACAAATATATTTTAGGGGGTCACCATTTCAGAAGTAATGAACGTTTTAATTACTAAAGTTCACTTTAAATTTAAATGGAAACATGTTAATTTTTAAGTCCTAGAAAATAAGGAAGCATTTTGAAAGACAGGTCTATTGTGTTACTGAGTAGGTGTATTGACCTTTTTGAAAGATGTAAAAACCGGAATGGTTCCAAGCATCTACTCACTGGTTTTAACAATGTTGAATTAGTCATTTCATTGATTTATGATTAAGACCTAGCCCCTGAAGAGAAGCTAATAACATGGCAGCCGGGTTAGTTACAGTTGTGTTGTGATTAGATGACAGTAATCAAGATGTTGTAAGGGGAATCCACAGAAATTTTTTTTATTATTATATATTGTTGTTCTTTGAATGAATAAAACTATGCAGAAATGGTTGTGTTGTCGCCGTCGTCATCTCTGGCAGATGTCAATGATTTTTGAACACTTGAGGATTTCATATTTTAAACATGATCAGTTACTTATAACTAAGATCCTATTACATGTAGTATTAATTTTCGTTTGAGATCGCCTAATGAGTCATGGTGTCAAGCAGGTATAGGACATTAGACCTGCCAAACTGTTGCTTAATTAGGGGTGTAAATTTCAATCTTTGCACCTTTGCTGCTCTGTGAGTAGTATATCCTATCCAATTATGAAATTGGTAGAACTAATTTTGTACACCTACATAGCTTCCAATTTTGTTTCTTTTTTGTGTTCTCTTGTCCCCATCCTTCTTAAAACTGTTGATAAAGGATAATTTTATTTTGTTGTTTATTATACTACATATTCATATTCAACTGAAAAGTATAACTAAAATTTAAGACATTCAGACTTCTTGTATGCATGTGTGTGTGTGTGTGTGTGTGTGTGTGTGTGTATGTGTGTGTAAAACATGTATTTGCATATGCCCTGGTGGGCTTGTGGTCACTGAACATTATTCTCTAATATTATATAAGAGTCAATTAACCTGAGTGTTGAAATTGATTCAAGATAGGTAGACAAGTAGTTGCAGTCTTTTAAGCTGTTTTGTAATCAAGGGCAATGTGTCGGGTTCACTAAATGAATTTTAAATAGAAAAATGTTTTATTCATTCATATTTTACTATGATTCTGTCTGCCCTACCCCAACTTTTCTGTTTTTGTTAGTTTTCCACATAATTTGTACATAACAATTAAATGTAGTTTGGTGGTACTGTATATTGTATACCTGGCTAGGGGGAAAATCATGGAATAAGCCCAATATATTCTTGATATCTTGAACTGTATATAAGAATTACAGATACTATATCTCAGCAACTATTACAAAAGGGAAGTGTGAACATTTTTTGCATATAATTTTTAATGCATGTATATATAATATAAAATTATATTTATATATGTTATATACTATTCAGGAAAAAAGTACCTTTCAGGTATACAGTGATAGTTTGAGCTATAATATCGATCGGTTCTTAGGCTTTCTTGTGCAAGCGCATCATATATTCACAATAAGTATAGATGTTGACACATAAGCATACTTTACACATCTACTATAATTATTGCTATTCCTATAGGAGTAGAAGTATTTAGTTGATTGGCAACACTCCCCAGAGGTAATGTTGAGTGATCATCTGCCATACTGTGAGACTTAGGTTTTATTTTCTTGTTTACAGTTGGAGGTCTGACAGAAATTGTTCTACCTAACTCATCCTTGGACATTGTTCTCCACAACACATGTTATGTAGCAGCACATTTCCATTACGTCTTATCAATAGGAGCAGTATTCACTATTATAGGTGACTTCACCAATTTCTATCATTCACTGATTTCCATTATTTTCAGGCTATACACTTAACTCAACGTGAGCAAAAGTCCACTTCACAATTATATTTGTAGAAGGTTAATATAACCTTCTTCCCACAGCATTTTCTTGGCCTTTCAGGAATGCCATGATGTATTCTGTAAAACTACTATAAGAAGTCATCAATTTCTGACAAGATTATTCATTGAAGCTAGAAATTTAACACAGATAATGCTGCTTTGAAAAAAATCACATTGTTATACATTCGATTTACTCGAAACAAATAAAATGCGAATGATTAATTATTCTTAAATAAATTATTCATTTTAGTTCAGAAAGCTTCCCAAGTAGATTTGAAATTAGGTTCAATTCATATAAAGTTTTCAGGAACATACACTAGTATATAAAGCAAGATTCACATGTATAAGGTTTTTTTTAAATGTTTCACTTTATCATCCACTAGTCTGGCAAAGTAAAAGCCCTGAAATATCCATGCAGTGTTTCTTTGGGATTATAATTTCTGTTTTTTTTAAAAATCACTTGTGGTTCTTATGGTTTGGGGGGAATGTTGTGTCAGCTTCATCTTGAAGTACCTAACATTATGAAGGCTGTGAGAAAACATTTTTTATT